CTGATTTGTTTTCATTTGCGTTTTTTGCTAGACACGCCGAACGCTAAATGCTTTTGGTCGAGCCACTCCTATAGCGGGTGGGTCTCAAAAGTGGCTCACCCCCTATAACTTTTTTTATTTTTTCAGATAAAACAACGATATTTGGTATGTTAGTAAATGACATAAATTGGGATTAATTGACGTATTCAATTGTTTTTGGTCACTTCCGGTTTCACCGGAAATGACTACAACTTTTGATTTTTAAATAGCACTCTCGGTATTTTTTTACTTTATTCGATAGAAAATGACACTCGAATCGAATGACATATCATATGTCAACTTTTGACATTTTGACATATGGTTTATTTGAAATTGTAACATGCGGTTCATAACGACAATTTGACTCAAAAGACAAAGTGTGTGGTATCAAATTATTCGTAAAAAAAATGCTTTTTCCAAATATGCTAATGAGCCACCCTCGTTCCATTTGAAACAATTGAGATATGATTAAAAATACGATTTGGGCATATTTTAACCGGCCAGGACAAGACACTAAAACATTAGACGATCAAATCTATTTTTCCAAGGCTCCTTGATTAAAAATTTGTATTTTTAACACAGCCATGGCACTCTAGATTGAAATTTAAAATAGAATTCATGCGATTCAGAATGTCATTTTCTATCGAATAAAGTAAAAAAATACCGACGGTGCCATTTAAAAATCAAAAGTTGTAGTCATTTCCGGTGAAACCGGAAGTGACCGAAAACAATTGAATACGTCAGTCAATTCCAATTTATGTCATATACTAACATGCCAAATCTCGTTGTTTTATCTAAGAAGATAAAAAAGTTATAGGGGTGAGCCACTTTTGAGACGCACCCGGTATAATCTTGTTATTTTGTTTTAGTCGCAAAAGACGCTTCACATAAAAAATGCAAAAATCGCTCTCTGTGTGGCCGTGGGCTTAGAGTTGTATCCCTTGCTAAAGCATTTTTTTAGCTCATTCATCTTGCTGAAAAATATCAACACTAAACAAGGCCATCACACAAATAGTTCGCCAAAATTATATATGCACCGCTATACATGTTGAACGAATAATCACGCGACACGCTTGGACGCCAATGCCGTGTTTTCCGCTGGTAGGCGGAGTATAGAGACGAAATCGACACAAACTGTTCCCGCCAAGAGAGTTGTCGAGCTGTCAATGAGACAACTCTAAATAAAAACAGAACTTGTCTACAGATTCTATAGGCTTGGTGCATTCACCGCCGGTGCTGCAACCGCCGGAGAACTCGTAAATAAGGAACACATAGAAATACACGGGGTTTAAATGGCGAGTAAACGAAAAAATTAGTATACAATTATTCTAAAAGTGTTAGAAAGTGTAATATGTGGAAATTCTAAACAAAAAAAAATAAAAGATAAATATTTTGATATCTTCCGAAGATCTAACTTGCATTATAATTTATTATTCCAGTTAAAAAAATAGATGAGTTCAACTACGGTAGCGAGCATAGTTTTATCACCGGTTTTGCTAGTGGGGCATAATTGGAGTTATTTCGGTTATAACGACATTTTTTAAAGGTACAGAATTATAATATTAGAAGATGTTAATAAAACATTTAATCACTAGTTGATTAAAAAAGTATACCATTAATGTTGCAAATTAAATTTCACCCTCTCATACTATAGTCTATTTAATTTTTTGATTATGTAACAAGCACTTTGTTTACTCACTTGTTTCGTCGAACTGCTTGAATCAATTTTTGCTATTGATCAAATCGGTGTAAGAAATTATAAAGCTATAAAATGTTGTTTCAGGAGAGTTGAATATCCGGAAAAGTTGAGTTATTGAATGTTATTCCACCCAAGAACGCCCTAATTACGCTCTCCTTCGCGTTAACATTTTTTGGTCAATTTTATTAACATTTGAAAATGTCACAACACAACAAGACGCCTAGTTCGAATTCTTTTTCACTTATTTTTTACTACCCGAAACAGCGTTAAACGGCCTACACACCTAACGATTTATCGTACTGCATGCAGTACGATATCCATCAAAACTGCCACATTAACGATAAATCGTAGCGTGTGTAGGGAAATTGCATGGTTTGCAGCATGCAGTCGTCAAATCGTTCGCAGTACGGAGCTTCCGTAAAATATCGTATCAACGGGTCGTGTCTGGGGTGGGGTTTGAACGCAAGTCTGAACGTGTGGAGTGTATTCCCTGCCGCAGCGCCCAGTTACGATATAATTTTTATTTATTTTTGGTTTAATCAATATTATGGATTTAAAAAATAAGACGTTCTGGGAAGACTTTATTGATTTATATAGAGAAAATAGATGCCTATGGGATGTGAAATCAATTTCAATGTGAAAAAAATCAAGCAGGTACCACTTTTTACACCATTTTCGCTTTTTGATTTCTTCTTGTTCATCATCTTCATCTATCAGCAATACCGCAGCTACAAGCACGGCAGCTTTCTTCTTTGAAATCCTTGACATAACGGTAGCCCTTCTCGACGAAAAGTGAATAATCTGAACTGCGGCAGTACAAAGTGTTGCATCGTGTGTACAAAAAATGGCTGTACTGCAAGCCATACGATTTTCTTTACGATCTGCATTTCAACGCGCAGTACGATAAACCGTTACGTGTGTAGGCCGTTTTACACCACACAAACCTCGTACCTGAGTCTTTTATAGTATCATTAACGGCACTAGTAAAAAACTAAAATACTTAAATATTATTTTCAAACACCGATGTCAATATTATTTTAATGCGATCGACATGACATGACGGCGACGTGAACTATTTGTTGATATTTTCTGATTTCTGCCTTCGAGTGCGCTGCGGTCGGAATTTGTTGAAATCAACTGAAATGCACCAAGCCTATGACTGAGTTTTGTGAGACTAATAATAAAGTTTAAAACCTTATTACGGTTCGGTAATCAATTTATTTCGACTAATATTGAAAGCACTCCCTAACTGATTTATGATATATGAAGTTCGAGCGGTTAATTACTAATTTTGTGCATTGTAGACATGAGTCTATTAATCAATGTTCAAAAATAAATTAATAAATTCATCTTCGAGATAGGCGCTTCGTAATAAGGAATGATAATTAAATGCTGTTGGACAAAATTTGCGGGATTAAATCAGCAGTAAATAAATCAATTTCGACAAGTTAAGAAAATATGCTTTATTCATAATAATATTTTTTCGTCATACTATATTGTTATATTATTATAACATAAGCAAAATCAGAATGGAAAAGATGCATATAACGTCCGCCGGACGTTATCATAACGGCCGGCGGCCGTTAAGTTTCTAAGGTAATCGTAACGTCTGTCACCTGCAACAATGACTATTTATTGTCAGTTGGACTTTTCAATAATTGGGAAAATAGACCATAGCGAGATGTCGCGAGAAATTCCGTTGGAAATACAGGAGGAAGCGGCTGCGGCTACTCAAAATTTACTTCCGACTATAACCAGAGAGAGATATCAGCAGGAATATGACAATTTTTGAAGTGGCGGCAGGATAGAAGTATAAACAGCGTAAATGAAGCGGTATTGCTGGCTTATGCTAAAAGAATGTCTGAAATGTATTCTCCTACATCACTGTGGACAAAGATATCCATGCTGAAGCTTGCGTTGAGAGTATATGAAAACATCGACATATCAAGGTAAAAAGCCATTATATTCTTCGATATTTAATCATACTCATCTAAATTATATTTGTTCATAGATTTGGTAAACTGTTCATGTTTCTGAGGCGCAAAAACGAAGGTTATTCACAAAAAAAGCCAAAGTTCTGTCGGAGAATGACATAAATAATTTTCTACTGGATGCCGATGATTACACCTGGTTACTCGAAAAAATTGTATTGGTGCTTGGTATTCTTGGAGCTTGTAGGCGCAGCGAGCTTTGGTCACTCACAGTTGATGATTTCGAAGATTCGGAGAAAAATATTCTTGTCTCATTAAGAAATACTAAAAATAAGAAAGATAGGAAATTTCTTATTCCAAAACGGGCCTTCCGTTTGATGCCTATGGTTTATACAAAAAATACATCAACCTGCGTCCTCGTAACTTTGACAATCCAAAATTTTTCATTGGTTACAAGAAAGGCAAGTGTGTTAAGCAAATCGTCGGTATACATACCATCGGGAGCGTACCGCAGAAAATTGCAAAATTTTTGAACTTGGAGAATCCAGAACGTTATACAGGGCATTCATTTCGTAGATCATCAGCAACCATGCTCGCCGAAAATGGTGGTGATTTACTATCGCTAAAGGAGCTAGGAGGATGGGAGTCTTCAACAGTGGCAGAAACTTACATAGAAAAATCAGTTTCCAAAAGAATGAAAATAACAAATCAACTTTTTCATGATAGCTCCAAAAATAATGTGTCTTTAGTGGATACAAATATTTGCCATTCTTCAGTAGCATCATCTTCTTCTATAAAATCTGTAAATCCCTGGGAAGGATTACAGATTTCTAAGAACAACAAGTGCACTTTTAATTTCCATGTTTATTATCATGAAAAATGAATTTTAGTATAAGACATTATGTATTTTTTATCCTTACTTGTGTTATTGTTCAATAAAATTTGTTATTAAATAGTAGTGTTTATTGCTCTAAAAAATCTGCAGTATGACGAAAAATCTAGAACGCAACACGGCCGATAACAAATAACGGCCTTGGCTGCTTATGATCCTCGGCTATCGCCTCGGATCACAAACTTCAGCCCGGCCGTTATTTGTTGTTTATCGGCCTTATTACGTTAATAACTATAACTTTCCGACTAATTTTTGTTGTAGTTTGATAAAGATTTATGAAAGGACTGCAGTTTAAATTATATTATAATTATAATATAATATATAATTATTTATAAGTAACTTTAATAATTTAAACTAAAGTCAGGGTTAAGAAGAAACATCTATTGAAAATAATTATTCATTCACATTATTGTTTTTTCACTATTTAAATAATTTTTCAAGTTTATTATTTCTTTTATAGATCCCCTCGGCACTCTTTGATTCCTGACAGTGCTCTGAGTCCAAGAAACAGTTTAGTACCAGATTCGACACGCTCTCCAAGACATAGTTTAGTGCCGAGTGATTTAAGAAGTCCTAGGAATAGTTTAGTACCAGATTCAGCATTATCTCCAAGGAACAGTTTAATTCCCGACCAATATAACAGGTAATAACTTTGAAAATATAGGAGATTTGAGGCAGTTGTTTTTATATTTAATATAGTTAGACTATTATTAATTTTAATTTAGAAAAAAATCAGTACAATATTTGGTTCAAATGCGCATAGGAAAATGAAGCATTAAAATTATTTTTGTATTGTAGTTGTACTGTATTTTCAAAAAAAACGTAAATAATTCAAAAACGGGAAGATTAAAATGCGGTAAACTCTAATCAAATTTACCTTTATTTTAATCGTAGATTAAAAATTTAATAATATACAGGCTGTTCCATTTAAAAAAATACAACTTTGATATTTTTTATTTATTTGGGACACTCTGTATCTTGTAAAGATATTTTTAAATTGTAGCTCTAGTAGTCCTTCACCGAACCCAAAACTTACAATTTGTAAAAATCTAATCGTTTAGCTACAATACTCCGTGTCGTATCTGGTGAATAATCCTGTATCCTGTATTGGTAGCGATCTATAAAATTTGTTCCTGTTTGTTTAAATGTGTTTACTCCAAAATTGTGTCTGCATTCTTTAAATTTCTTTCATAGACACAAATCCAGTAGACGTACTTTTACATAATAACTATGGGTTGCGATGATTAGAGATGTTCTAGAGATTGCCTCTTTAAAAAAGTAACTGCAACGCGGTATACTATATAACTAAGTGAGCTGTAAATTATAAACAAACATTACTCATGCATGAAGACGGTTGTTTACGAGCTGAAGGTGAGTGGTGGAAGTCGTACAAAATGAATAATGGCTCTTACTTGCGATTTGAATACTACCTTGTCTACGACAGGTAGTCACGTAGTTGTTTATTAAAGGCGCATTAAGATAAGCGAACGAATAGGGTGGAAAGCATTTGGTCGAATTTGTTGGCTGTAGGCTGTAAAGTTAGGCGTGTTGTCCACTGCACAACGAACATATACCGCACGAATTCTTTCGCGTTGCCAACGAACACCGAACGTCTTTGCTACGAAGTACCTACACATTAAGGAACAATCGGAGATAATTATCTAGCAAGCATCTTTTGTTAGAACACCATCAGAATTGTATATATAAACATTGTTTATTAAAATAAATCAACTATACATAAATGGTAGGAATAACTTTTGAAGGAGTAGGTTTATCGAAAAATTGTAAGAGACTTTTTTGTAGAGAGTTCAATTCTGTACAGGAATATGTGATTGTCATGGCTGCTAGAGAACAAGATCGAGAGAAAAAAATATATTTGCAAAAAGTGGCAAATTCCCATGTAATTTAAATGGGAATTGAATCGTCTTTGGGGCAAGGTTTATTGTGAATATTAAGGGTTTACAATGGTCTGTTATTTTTTTTAGACAATAAACTAAAAATTTAGAGGGCGTCGTGAGAGAAATGATTAACTTTGTAAATAACGGACACCCTAGTGAGCATAGACTCACCTAATTTATTAAATAGGAAGCACACACACAATAACTGTAAGATGATTTACCGTTAAATATCGAATTCTGAACGAATGACAAAAGACCGGTATTCGGCAATGCACTCTGGAAAAGTAAAGAGAAATGTATTTTTCGAAAGCATGCATCGCCTACGGGACAGCCAGGTGTTTGACCAATGGTGTGTTTTATCCTTCGTTTCAGAATGAGGTACCTAGTGGGTTCCTACCCATTAGGTAAGGGTAAACTTGTAAAAAAAACTCCTGTAGGTATTCCTGTAAGGGTAAAAAAAAAGATATTCTTACATTTTTTTAGATAATAGCAGGGCCGGGCCCAATGGGGTGGGGGGGATGGGGAATTCCCCCCCCCCCCCCCAAAGTCAAGCCACTTGGTTCCAAATGCGGTTGGCAAAATCTACCTACCAAGCTACTAATCGTAATAAAAAAATAGAATATAAGTTTTAACTAACAAAAATTGCCAACAATCAAAAAATAAAATAAAAATTTCAATTCAAAAATCTTAATTTAGTTTGCATTAAAAAAAAGTTCTGCATCATGCAAACGTTTAAATTTTGATTTTTTCTGCTGTCTAATGTTTTTAAACACTGTTTTTTTAAAGATGAAAATTGTTACCAAAATCCTAGAATCCGACAAGTTAAATGTTATTGAGGCCTTCTCTATTATAAACAGTGTCAAAAATACCCTGCAAACCATTAGACCAAATCCCGTTGAAGTAAACAACCTAATTGAAGCTTCCAAAACATTTGCGGCATCATTAGATCTCAATGCAGATGAAGATTTTAAAAGGCACCATCGACGGAACGTTATTCCAAAAAAGTTTGATCAACAAAATGAAAATGCTGCACTCATGGACATAAACGCATTTTATCGACACGAATTCTTTTAAGTTTTAGATATCCTCATCAGTTTTTTGGAAAAAAAATTATCTGAAGTCCTAAAAATTATACAACCTTTCGTAAAAATATTTCTTTCCGTTTGTCTAAAAAAGCCGTTATGGACAGTAAAAATATTGAAGCAGCGATCTTATTATTTCCCTCCAATAAACCCGATCCAGCTAGTTTACAGAGCGAATTGGAGGTATTTTTTGATATTTGTATAGAGAAAAAGGTTGCTTCCATGGAAGATGTAATGAAAATTGCCATCGAGCAAAAATACGTTTTTAAAGACAGTTTTCTTTTTTGTCAACTTATCTATACCGCTGCGTTTTCAGTTGCAACACGTCTGGAAACGAGCGAAAATTTAGCACTTTAAAATTCGTAAAAACATGTTACGTACCACCATGGCTAATGAACGATTAGATTTCTTAATGAGCCTGAAAAGCGAGCGCGACATAACAGATAATATAGAATTGACAGATGTGATTGAGTCTTGGATCAAGTTAAAAGATAGGAGACTGAGGGTTCAAACTAAGCACCGTATGATCGAAAAAAAACGGCGTCGAGTTGGCTTGGAAATGACGATCGATGACATGTCCCATATAATTTTACATATAAAATGACAGCGATCTTCATTTCATTGCCATCGATGACGCCGTTTTTTTTCGATCATACGGTAGTATTATTAGTAGGTAAATTTAATCAAGTATCATTCTTACTTGGAACCTAAACCTAAGAAATACATATACCGACCTGGTCATTTGATTACTGTGTATAGGATTTTAACGTGTAAGACAGAGAATAATATAAATGACCGGTTGACAGACAGAGAGACATCATCAAAAGGGGCCGGCGAGAAGCCGTTGCGACCGATACAGTGTTGCCGGTTTTTACGGGTGTGGGCAAGGTAAAGCATAAGCATGGTGGGAGAACGCATTGAGAGGGGCGGTGCTTTATGTTAAGGTTCGTATTCACTATCCAAAAGAACAAAGGAATGAAATTCGGTATATTTGGACAGCAAACCGAATGCATGCGGCCCTTCGCCATTCGGTTCGCTCCATCATCCGTTTCCAGTCGGTATATCAGAGACGTTCGCAAACGAATGAAAATTATAGAACCGCGCGAACAAGACTGGACGTTCGCTCGTTGGATAGTAGCATTCGTTCGTTCGGATAGTGAATACGCACCTTTATGTAGATGAAAGGGTGGGGAAAGGAAATAGATCACCTGAGATCCAAACTATTTTTGCATCATTCTTTTCGCCTAGCTGTTTCGGTATGTACGTTAAGTGTTTCAAAAATGGCTATTTATACGACCGAAGAGAAGGTGCATATCGTTAAATGGTTTTACATTTCGTCAAGTGTGGAAGAGGTCATTGGGCGTTTTGTGTTCACCTTTCAAGATCGCCCTGTGCCTTGTGCCACAACTGTACGCAACATTGTCCATAAATTTGAGCAAACAGGCTGCATTGCGGCGTGCAGAAATTGTAACAATAAGGAAGGCGCAGAGAAGGTGATTCCCGACAAGGTAATTAATATTTGTGCCGCGGTCGAAACAAGCGAACCTTGTTCAAGCCGAAATATAGCCGAACAAGTTGGTTGCAATGCTCGAACGGTGCGCAGGGTTTTAAAAAAGCATGGATATCAAAAAAGTCCTACAAAATCAGTACCACGCAAGAAATTTTTCCCGCAGATTGTAACAGACGTCTGGAGTTTTGCGAGGCTGTAAGAGAAAGAGCCGATCGGAATAATTTATTTTTGGAAAATATATTATTCTCAGATGAAAGTTCGTTTCCCTTACATGGCTACCACAATCCTCGATAGTACGTTATTGGTCTCGAGAAAATAAGCACCTTAGTATGGCACTGCGGACACAATATCCACAAAAACTAAATGTTTGGGCTGGCATGCTGCAAAATCATATCATTGGGCCTTTTTTTATTGATGGTATGTTAACAGCTGCCAAATATTTGGATATGCTACAAAACCAAATTGTACCAGCAGTTCGAAATTTGCCAATCAATTTTGAGGAAGTGTGGTTTCAGCAGGATGGCTGTCCTGCGCATAACGCGCGGAACGTAAATCTGTTCCTTCAAACCACATTTCCCAATCGGCTAATTTCCACACAAGGCACAATTAATTGGCCACCACGTTCTCCTGATTTGTCGCCCAATGACTTCTTTCTGTGGGGATATGTAAAAAACTCCATTTATGGCCATAACCATGAACGACCCATGAATATTGACGAGCTGCGATTAAAAATCGTTCAGTCGTTAGAAAATATCCCCGCTGTTATGTTAGCTAAAGTTAGGTCAGAGTTTTATAACCGTCTTGGCTATTGCGAAGCACAACAGGGAGGTATTTTTGAACCTTTGATTTAATTTTTTATAATTATTTTGCTAATTGTCCTTTTTTAAAGTTGATTTTTAGTCATTTTTTTAATGCTTGTTTTAACTTATGCTGAAACAGCAACAAAAACATGAGCAGTATAGATACAACCGGACGTTTAATTATTTTTATTGTTAAAAGATTAAACGTCTCGAGATGTATGGATAACCTTCAAAATCGTAAATATATTGTAGAATGATGTACACCCAACCCCTTTCAAATCCGACTGATTTGATTTCTGTCTACCGTTCTAGGACTTCGATACTGTCAGTGTTGCCAGATGAAGTTTTGAAAA